ACTGTATAAATTAAAATGGCCCACCCTGTATATGTATATGTTATTGCGAACAATATTACCTACAGCCCCAGTGGTCGAGCTGGTTAAGACGCCCGCACGGATTGAGGGAGGTCCCAGGTTCGAATCCTGGTTGGGGTAATATTTTTCACAATAAGAATTTTAATTCAATAGGGGAAAGGGTAAATTTATAATGCTAAGTATAGCATTAAAATTAAATTAAAATAATTTATAAAAATCGCTCTGCGATTTTTAGAACATGTGAATTCACTGACGAGAATGATCCTACCAAGGGGAAAATCTGTGTTATATAGTATGTCCGATAGTAACGGCGCACAGTACAGAGTAGGAAAAATACGGTATATGGATTCACTAAAATAATTTTCAATATTAGGAAATTTATGAAAACAATTGCTTTTAAACTGTTACTTATCACTGTATATAATAATAGGATCAATGCTATGTGATATTGTAATATGCCTAGTTAATAAATATTAGAAACTAAAATTTTTCTCGCAATAGTATTAAATAAACAGCTTTTCGATATAGTGCGTAATGACACACTGCTATTGGCTGTTTCACGTCACTGAGAATAGAACAGCCAATAGTAATGCATCTCGACAGCACAAGACCGTCTCAAGACGACAATTTACTGGACTTGAAAAATACGTGCTTAAGATACATCTTGAGCAACGCCTTCACATCTCAATTGAACTTAAGATTGGATTATGCAACTGTATTTGACTGCCTTCAGATCGGTCTTAAGCCGTCGGCAGCACGTCAGTACAAATTTCTTGCAAGCTTTATCAATGCATGAATAGAAAAGATAATATACATTTTTGGAAGAAGAGATATTAATTAAAGACTACATTTTTGCCCCTATTCTGTAAACGTATACTTAAATTACAGTACATTAAATGTTAATATTTGATCTCTCTATATCAATTTGTGCATGCACACGTGCACAATATAATCCTGGTAAAAAAATGTGTATACATGAATGTGAATAAATACATATATAGAATTATATAAAATTATTTAATATGTCCATCGAATATGTCCATACATATTTTTACATTGTATATTTCTATATAATTTTATACAATTCTACATAGTTTTGTATAATTTTAGATATTTAAACATGTTCTTATATGAACAATTTTTAATATGACAAATTATTGTTTATAATTATATACATATGTATGATTTTGTGCAATTGTACACAGTTATGTATACTTACAAATAAGCAATTTTTTCCCTTTTGTTAAAGTTCTCATATCAAAACATGTATAAATCTTCAAAATTATAAAGAACTGTGTAGAATTGTATAAAAAAATACAATGTAAAAATAAATATGTATGGACATATTTGATGTATAATTTCATATAATATAATATATTTATGCATGCTCATGCATAAAACATTTTTTATCGGGTATTTGTACAATCATAAATAATAATATTATATAATTTTTCTGAATTTAGAACATTTCCCAAGTCGTGTCCAGCACGAAGTTTGTCAAGACGATCTTGCGCGTTCTCAAGACGAATCTATGCATGTGAGGCTAACTTAAGACGGTTTCCGGTCTTAAGACCGTCTTCACTAAGATCGTGCTTAAGACAGATCTTGAGCTTGGACTATGAATACCTGCCATAGAGTACCCTGGTAAAAATTCCGTTAGAAACGGATAGAACATGCATTAAATTCTATCTGTTTCGCGAAAACGCATAGTAAAACAGTCAGAAACAGATAGAATTTAATGCATGTTCTATCCGTTTCTAACGGAATTTTTACCAGGGTATAGGACATGGTGGAAAGAAATAAAGTAAGGCAATCTTCGTGACGAGTTTTGTTTCGTTCTGCGCATCCCAGGTTTGGTGGGGGATCCGCACAGCTTCCGCCATCTTTTCTTCGATAACACGTGCCATGGTTAGTAAAAGTTGTTTACTTCAAGCGTTACTTGAAAACAGTCACTGTTATTGTGATTGAGTAATGAATATGGATATATGTATATTCAAGGGTAATTTAATATTCAATTTTTCTAGTTTTTTAAGGCAATTTCCAATGTTCTCGCGCAATATTCTACCATGTCGATTCTTCAGGCTTGTGCGTGTTCAATAGACGTAGAATTAGGCGATTAATTGGTGGTATTATACAAAGCGAAGACCCCGACTATCGGGTCTCGCGCGGAATGATGCAACCCCGCAGAATCAAAAATTTTTCTTCTAGGTTAGAAGACGTGTTGTACGCTCGACGTCCCAAACGGAACTCTTGTTACTTTAGAGTGGGTTTTGAAGTCCTTAGAGAACAAGGCGTGGCTGGATTCGGAGGCGTCCGGATGAAACACTTCTCCAAGGCGGTGCAGGTAGAGCCAACATATGCGCGATAAGATTCTATGTACGGTCAGGGTCAGAAAGTCAATAGCTGCTTTCCTCTTACATTCAAGTGATACTGAGTCACTCACAAGGGAACGGTCGGATGTGTCCCTCACCGATTTCAATGCGCTTCGGATATGTTGTAGAGCATAAAAAAGTATTAGACCCATATTTTTTTATCTGTGCTTATCTCGACGTTTAGGGGGTGAAACATCCCCTCGAAAATAACGGATTTTTTCATTTTTTACGAATATCTTCGAAAATATAAGTTTTATGAAAAAATGTTTTAGACAAAAGTTTTATTGTTTTTCCATAGTCTTCACAATGTCGTAATCATATTTTTCAACAATGTCAAATTTTTTTATTTACCCCCACCTCCACTATTATTTTACAAAAACTAAAAATTTTTTTAGCTCAAAAGTTTAAGAGCATCAAATGCTAATCACATCCACGTATATTTTTATTATGATACGACGATTTGATTTTTGGGAAAACCAGATGTATGAGGTATAGGCTTCGCGCTGCAGGTAGGTATTGCGTTACTCCTTTCCAGTTGCGATGAAATATGTCGTATGACGCATAATGCTGTACACGTGCATTAAAGATGAGATATCATCAATATCTTTCGTAGTATTGCACATTAGGTCAAAGTCAATCAATTTAAAACAGCATCAAAGTGAATCAACAATGACAAAATAGATTTTCTACGTCACCTTACGCTTAAATCATTCGTTCGTATTGCGCTGAATGTAGTTATTATAAGTGATAGAAAATTTGGCAGAGAAGAAAATAAAATTAATTTAGATAGAAATTTATAAACAAAATAAAAATAATCTTGGCTTTCAAGCTTTCGCGGCTGCTGTCTTCTTCAGTCGTAATGGCTTCCGGATGGTTGCCGCGTCCGTTTGCGGTGTGGTGCCGACGTTTCACAGGCGTTGCAGTCTGCATCATCAGGGCTGGGAGACTCTGATACTGAACTCCCTTGCGTTGCGGTAGTCCTTATATACCTGTGTTCCCTTTTGGGGGTTGGTGGGGAGGGGTGAAGGAGCGGAGGGAGGGAGAGGGGGAAAAGTCACTCAATCGGGGCGTTGCAGGCTGACCTATTAAAAAACCGGAAGGGCGGTGTGCCATATCGGGTTAACCTGGTAGCCTTTGTCGCGGTTCAGGTTATCAGGGTGTTTCAAGATTTCAAGGCCTTCGCGGTGTTTTCGTGCGAAATAGCTGTGCGACGGGGCCAGCATGGTGGCTTTGTCGAATTGGACGGCGTGTCCGGTCTCAATCTTGTGTTCAGCTAGGGCTGATTGTGAGAAGTAGCCGTATTTGGTACATCGCTGGTGTTCTTTGATCCTTGTACTGATCTTCCTCCCGGTTTCTCCTATGTACACTTTTCCGCAAGCGCATGGGATTTTGTAGACCCCTGGGGCTGCCAAATGGGGTCTCCGATCCTTGGGATTGGGGAGCATTTGAGAGAGTTTGTTGTGTGGTTTGAATATCACTCTTATGTTATGCTTGCTCAAGACTGCTGATGCGGTCCGTCGTGCCTCGGAGGTACGGGAGTACCACCGCCTTTTCTTCTCTTTTTCTGCCTCTGGCATCCTGGTGTCGTTAAGGCCCCCTTCTCGCCCTCGAAACAATCCAAAGCCATCCTAAGACAAGCGTCGTTAAGACTACTTAGGGAGAGAATTGCGAACAACCAAAAAGGGCTTAGCCGAGACTTCCAAAAAACTTCTCGAGCTACATCTGTCCCTTTCTAGTAAACTAGAACCGGATCTGTGGCAAACCCTGGACCGAATCACATACGAGCAATCCATCCGCTCAGCAGAATTAACAACCAAAAAACAAAAAGAAAAGTTTACTAAAATGTAACCACAGGCGCAATTCACAGTTCTCCCCCCTGACAGTAAAGATCCTCAGTAGTCAGGTCCTCTCACCCCCCCCCCAAACTGCTATCCTCACCAAAGGACACTATTTCGCACTCACCCCCACTAGAATCCCGACGGAAGGGGTCATCAGCTAAATAGAAACTGCCATTTTCCACCTTCCAACTGAAGCGGAAAATAACATGAGACAAGAGTCAGCCCATATCCTCTGGAAAGCCAAACTTACTAGTCAAAACATCAACAGGGAAAAGCGCTTAGCGCTTCAAAGCCTAAAACAGAATGACTACATCCTCATTCTGCCAGCAGACAAAGGCAATGCGACAGTGGTGATGGACAAAAGAGACTATCACAACCAAGTCAACACCTTACTGTCAGACGCCCAAGTCTACAAAAAACTCAAACGCGATCCAACCTTCAGCGTAGAGAAGAAAACTTCCTTCCTTATCAAGAAGGTAAACTTCCCTCCTCTAACCACGAAATACCTGACCCCCAGCGATAGCGCAGCCCCCAGACTATACGGCCTCCCGAAGATTCACAAAGAATCGGTGCCCCTACGGCCCATTGTCAGCAACATGGGGAGCCCCCCACCTACCAGCTAGCCCGCTTCCTCACCAAACCTCTTCAAAAACTCACCGGCCTTAACGATTCCCATATCAGGAACTCAATGGATTTCGTGAACAAGATCACCAAGATCAAAACCAAACCCAACGACATCCTAGTGAGTTTCGACGTGGTTTCCCTGTTCACCAACGTCCCAGTACAAGACACCCTGGACATCATCAAGACATCCAAAGAGATTCCATCCAACCTGTTCCCACTAATAGAACACTGCCTCACTTCCACTTATTTCCATTTCCAAGGAGAATTCTTCGAACAAACCACGGGAGCAGCAATGGGATCCCCCATATCACCCATCATTGCGAACATCTTTATGGAACACTGAGAACGAAATCCTGAAGAAGGCTCCACTAAAACCCTCCACGTGGTTCAGATACGTGGACGACACCTTCTTCATCTGGAACCACGGAAGGGAAACCCTACCTCAATTTCTTACGTTTATCACCTCCCAGCACCCTAACATCCAATTCCCAATGGAGATTGAACAAAACTCCCAAATTCCCTTCCTGGATGTATTCGTCCGCAGGAACGAGGATGGCACCTTAGGCCACAACGTCTACCGTAAACCGACACACACGGACCGAAACCTCCATGTGAACTCCCACTATCATCCCGCCCAAAAGAATTCTGTGATTAACTCTTTAGTCCACAGAGCATCTCGGAACCAGCTGCCCTGGACGGAGAACTAAACCACCTCCACCGAGCCCTAACAAGGAATGGATACAGTAGCAGAAACATCAACCGTACGACCCAGAAGCTGACAAAGAAGGAACCCATCCTTAACGACACCAGGATGCCAGAGGCAGAGAAAGAGAAGAAAAAGGCGGTGGTACTCCCGTACCTCCGAGGCACGACGGACCGCATCAGCAGAGTCTTGAGCAAACATAACATAAGAGTGATATTCAAACCACACAACAAACTCTCTCAAATGCTCCCCAATCCCAAGGATCGGAGACCCCATTTGGCAGCCTCAGTGGTCTACAAAATCCCATGCGCTTGCGGAAAAGTGTACATAGGAGAAACCGAGAGGAAGATCAGTACACGAATCAAAGAACACCAGCGATGTACCAAATACGGCCACTTCTCACAACCAGCCCTTTTTTTTGACCCGGTGGAAATCCTCATGGACCATCCCCCCACTCCGCTGGGACGGAGACGGGGGGGGTGTGTGGGACTCGCCCTCCCTGTACCCCAGGCAATTGGCGACCTGGGGCCAGCGTGCAATGGAGGGCGCCTACCGCACTAAAACCACCGAGGGTGGACTTCACTGCGCCATGTTGAGCCGGCCAGGTACTGCGATCGCATTGCTTCTAATCGGCTCGGCGCCACGCGCCTGTTAATAGCACGCTCCTCTAGGTCCGGACTTGGACCCCGCCCTGACATGGGTGTTCTTTGGCGCATTGCGTGCGCCGCGGCGGGGGTGCCACCAGGCCTCCCGCCGCGCCCCCTAGTTGTTTGTGGGGGCGGGTGAGTCACGGGTATCCCAGCCCGTGCCCACCCCCGAGGGTCCCCAATGACTCCTCGACACCTCTCCTTTTAGATGCCTCTTACGACAGGCAGGAGATACCCCAGGCCTATTCTTAAAGCGGAACCTGGACGCTTAAAGGGGGACCCTGACGTCCCTTCGCCATGAGTGGCGTTAGCCGGGTGGTTGTTGCTCACCCAGTCCCTCCTCGTGATCAAGGGGAAGATGCTCTGAGAAGAGCAATCCCCATCTCCTGCAGACGTTGTTTGTCTGCTATGGGGACATAATTATTGTGTCCCCTTCCGAGAAGGGGGACGCTGTTCCTGCGTCCCTCTCCTCCTCGTCTCGCTCCCTTTTTTTTTTTTACCCGGTGGAAACCCTCATGGGCCGTCACCCCGCCTCTCTGGGAAGAGGACGGGGTGGTGTGTGGGACTCACCCCCCTGTACTCCCGGGCAATTGACGACCCAGGAGCCAGCGTGAAATGGGGGCGCCTATC